GATAAAGTAGCGATTGTGCTACCTCGAGGTAGCGAATCGACTTCTATTAAGTAGCGAATCGACTTCTATTAAGTAGCGAATCGACTTCTATTAAGTAGCGAATCGACTTCTATTATTAGCGAATGTGCAGTAGCAAAAGTGCAAGGTAGCGAAAAGACAATAATTGCCTATGGCCCACTGTAAATCTGGCTTTAATAAACTGTCACAAGTTTGCAAAGGTTGCAAACGTCAGTGCAACCACAAACACATCAAGAAAAAATCCAAAAAAATGTCATTTCCAGTGTAAAGACCAAAACTTTGGAGAAAATTTGGCGATCAAATTTTTATTGTTTTGGCTCAAGTGCAACCTGACTATTAAGAAATTGAATGTCGTTGTTAGTAATCCTACAAACAGACTGTTCAAAATATTTGAAATAAAAATAAAGCTTCATGATAGAGTACTCAAGCAATGAAGTCATTAAAATTGATGGAAAATCAAAAAAGACGTTTACACAACTAATTTGACGAGAATCAGACAAATATCAGCTGAGACACGGTCATTTGAATATATAATTATTATCATATAATATTATGAAATTATAATTATAATTAAAAATCACTGTATTTTTGGCTTGGTTCAGAACGCTTTGAACTAAGCCAGAAATACAGTGATTATTTTTTCATGCTGTCACACTTAAGTAGTCTGTGACGCTGTCTCCCTGTGTCCATTGGGAGCTCCGCTTTTAGGCAGTGCCTAAATTTATATAATTCTAAATTCTAGATGCTAGACAAAATAAAAATATCTAATAACTATCAGATATTCAATATTCAGTCGATACCACAGGAAGTCCATACAAGCGTAAAGAGCTAAATGTAATTTAAAGTGCCACTATGTTGAAATTTTGATGTCTCCAATTTTTTCTGTTTAAACAGATGTTAAAGTACTTCATGCAAAAGAAGAAAACTGGCGTCTTTCATTTCTCGTTAGCACTTTTGGTTCGCAAGATATTCAAGTTTTAAGTTTATGCTAATCAGGAAGTTGGTGACGTCATATTCTGAACTCACAGTTTTCTTCAACATAGATTTCAGTATATCTCTGAGAGTATTTGATGAATGTCATCCAAACTTTGCAGAAGACATGTATTCAAAACATGAAACATGAAAATGCACAAACTGGTGTCCAGGCCATTAACAACAATTTTAGGCTTTCAGCAATAGCTTCATTATCTTTTAACTTAAGCAAATAATTGTTTGACTAAATTTGGGACTATAACAGATATTTTAACTTAGCCTTAATCGATACCCTCTCTCGTTAAGGTAGAAATTTCAAAAACCTGAATTTTTGGTAGGGGTGGCCTGAAACCAAGGCTGTTGCTATGGCAACTTATCTCTTTAGCTAATTTTGAAGAACAGATTGAGAACTGTAAAATGCCCATCCAAACACACACAACATTGTTGGCTCAACATGCTGGAAGCCTTTGAACACCATGTTGCATGTTATTGGGACTTATTGGGCGTTGTTGGATGTTGTTATGTTCAAGTTAACAAGTTCTAACATTTCATTTGTTTTGCGGTCATCCAATTGTAGCCCAACAATGTTGCATTCATTTGTACAGCAGATCCAACAAAATTGTATGGGTACATGCACACTGCACGCTGTATCCATGGAGATTTTAAACAAACAAACAAACACAAAGCAAACGAGTTAAACTGGAAAAGGCTTGATATTAGTCAGAATGTTAACCAAATATTTCTAAGTCATTCGCAACAATCAACATGCAAATAAAAATAAAAGAAATAAAAAATCCTGAAGTGTTCACAATTCTTTGACAATGTTGTTGAAGTATCCTTTCTAGTTTTGGCGTCTTCTGATCCATCCTCTTGTTTTACCACAACACACTTTTGAGTACTGTTTTCACTAAGGACTTTATTTAGGACTATAAATGCTATGCTTTTTCGTTTTTTTACATGTAATATAAAAGGCAGCCACAATAAGTTCAAGCAAAATGGCGGATAATGCCAAACATGTTGGGACTTGTTGGGACCGTTTGAATGCACAATCACCAACAGTATCCAACAAATGCAAACAATGTTGGGTGTTGTTGCGATCATGAGCCTTAAGGTGGCTGCCTACTTTTGAACGTTCGATTTGAGCCCACGATGTGCGCGCGCTCAAAAACCGCTGAAAAATCTACAAGATTTTATTGAAGAACCATACGCGTTTTGAGCTTCAACAGGGCAAAACCCTCGAATTTTGCACAGGACTCTATGTTTTTTAATAGCTCATTCGAAAAAACTCCTAAAAATCTAGGTTATATCAACATTTTAGGAAAAGTTTAAATCAGGAACACATGAAAAAATAGATTTTTGTAGGGATTTTTGTTCGACTTTATGAAATTTATTAAGAGCACCGAAACTACAAAATATGACAAATCAATGTATCTCTCTGTCTTTTTGTCGAAAATATCCATGTATTATTGTAGAAGGATTGACTAGCCTTCGTTCGTGCAATCATATAGTCTGCAAATAGCAATTATCTTATTAATCTTAATTTTTTTCTAAACACTTCTGGTGGCGCAATTTTTACTCCAAAAGCTCGTGCGTAGGCTTCCATTAAATGCTGATTATCTCGAAAACGAGCTCGGGACACCCTATTTTTCTTTCCAGATTTGGAATCAGCATTAAATTTCAATTTGGAAAATCGAAGTTTTAAAAAAAGCTTAAATCAATTTCCAAAAGTAGGCAGTCACCTTAATTCTAGCAAATTTGGTTGATTTTGATTGAAATTGGGAGATATAGCTTATCAAGATCTTTGGCTGCTGAAGTATTGAGAAATATGGGGTGTGCCGAAAACCTGAACCTACAGCCATGGCCCTACCTATGGCCCTATATATGGCCTACCTTTATTTCTCAAAAATTCTCTGAAATATCAATCTTTTTCGCAGTATTTATTGCCAAAAATCCTGCTGTCAGCTATCTTGATAGCACGGCAGAAGCCCAAACTTTTATTGTAACTAATATTGGGCTTGCTGTGCATTTATTTGAGCCAGTTGTTTTGATGAGTCAGCAGTTTTGTCTTTCTTGACTTTTTCGAGCACACGAGGTGAGCTCATATGTTTATATTTCATTGTTTTCATTTCTCTTTTGGGATAAACTGCAATCAAAGTAATGTGATATTGATTTATTTTTTAGTAAAGAGTCTACATACAATTTTGCTGATGGATTTGTTTGATTATCCACCTCTTACACAACACTTTTAATTGCATTGACACATGCTCGAAAATTTAATATCTGCTAGTCAATGGTAGGTGTACATGTATGTTGATGTTCAGGATTTATTTCTTTATCAGTTTGTTTATCAGTTTTGTTTAAAATCAAATTACTGTCAGCAGTAGGTTCTCAGTTCAAACTGCTTCTGTTCCTGTATTTTCAAAAATAAAGATATTGAAATTGATTGCCTGTTCGTATTCAGGACTTATTGTTCATTTATAAGTTTTGTTCAAAAAATGAAAAACAAGTTACTGTCAACTTTCATATGTTAGGTTCTCAGGTCAAACTGTTTATGCCTACATTTTGAAAATAAAAATTAAATATTTAAAAATTGATTGTGTTATAGTTTGTCTGGTGCTAAAGAGGAAGTGTATAAATATCATATATAACACTACTTTATGAATATATCAAATTACTTCTTTTGGCAATTTACAGAGATGCATCATCCACACAACCCAAACACTCTATTTTTAACATGAAATCCAAATACGTTTATACATAATAAAATAGTCAAGATGGGTGCTGCTAAAAAATGAATAGTTACAATAGAATTTTGGGCTTCCTGTGGTCCTAAAAAAAGCTGCCGGGCTGCCATTGTCAGCTAAGATTCATTCAGAGGGCTTCTGCAAATGAATACTGCGAAAAAGATTGATATTTAGAGGAAATTAAGGGAAACAAAGGTAGGCCATAGATAGGGCCATAGGTAGGGCCATGGCCTAGGTCCAGGTTTTCGACACACCCAGAAATATGACGTCATCAAGAAAAATGTCATTTCTTAACTACAGTATCTTTTGGAGGAAAAAAGATATTTGAAAAAGGAAAGTGACATTTTACTTCACTATCAAAGGCCTTTGAGTTTTAATCCGGCCAAAAAAAGCAAGTCAGAAATTTCATCGTAGTGGCACTTTAACAAATAAAAAAGAAAAGATATTTACTCACATGAAGTGTAATTCACTTTGTCCTTGGTCTTTAGTAGTAACTTCAAGCCATTTTAGTGATTTTAAAAAGATATTTGCTTCCCCTCTAAAGCACTTTCCATAAAAGAAGAAGACAAGAAAGGAGACAGACCTTAGATCGAGTCGACCCACTAATGAGCGGAGCAGAATTTTCGACATTAAATCGCATTCCCCCGCTTTGTAACTTATCAGGGCAACGAAAGGATAAATTTTCAATTCAAGAAGACCACTTACAGAAGCCGGCAGCCAGAAGAAAGATTCAAAACTTCTGTCATAAAATGGCCGTCGCATGAATGGACCAAATATTGAAGCCGTTAGCGTAGTGGCCTGGGTCCAATGACAAAATCCCCCGTACGGGAGACGCGACAGGACGTTTTTTGGTAAACCCATAAACTTTCCACAGAAGCTTTAACGCTTATGTACGATTATGAGGGGGTCGTGCATCTAAATCAAATACAATAAAAATATAAAGGAAACCAAATAAACATTAACCTAAATCAATTATCTATTTTAAAAAATCTAATAATGGAAGAAAAATTTGAAACCTATCTAAAATGTCTAAAACGGCTTAAAAGTATTTATAGTCCTGCTTACTAAAATTAACTGTAGAAACAGATAATACCTTAAAATGAAAGTCATTAAAGTCTTTGTCCTTACTAAATCTAAAATCTATAGACACGATGTCATCCTCTGTGGTCCACGTGACTGTATTGAGGCTTGAGTAACCTTTGCTCAGAGTCTTGGGCCCTGGGTACTGTTTTTGGGCTACCTGTGGCATTCCGTGGTCTTCCTGTGGCTTTAGTAAAGATGGCGGCCATCAGGTGTCTTCGAAGTACAAGTATTCTTCATAACAYTTATCCGCTGAATTCAATAGGATGTTTATCATCATTCGTCCGGACATTCCACCTTAGTTTACCAGGTAACAAGCGTCGGTGTTTTGCATGTTCGCTTGTGGAAAATGTTAATGCTTGTCACATGTATTCTGATAGTATTCTGACCATGCGTTTAATATTATTTCATTTCTCTAGTTCAAGAGGGAAAATATCATTACCTAGAAAGGAAAAGAAAATTAAGAAAACAACGAGAGCTAGAGCTAATGGCTAGATACGAGGTAACGTAACCCTTTTTCTGCATGGAGAAAACCTCATAATTAAGCCTAATATATTTATATATGTGTGTGTGTAAAAATTTTAAGCTTAATTAAACTTATATGATTTCATAATGGCTTAATGCCATTTCTCCCGTTTTATTTCTCCCATTTATGAGCTGAAACTTTATTTTGTTACTATAAATTCATTTCTGGTGTTCACTTGACAACTGATTAATTTAAGGGGGTTATGTAAATCAATATGTTGCAAGCATAATACTAAGCCTCCCTTACTTTTTTTCAACTATTACTTTATGTAAAATCAATACTGAAAATATTGAGTCAGGGATAATGGGCATTTGAAGCAATTCTGAGAGAACTTGTCTTGGGCAACGATTTCAGGGTTTCCAGGGGTCAGGGGAAAACACAGTCAGGGAAAAGTCAGGGAATTTTTTATTGAGTCAGGGAAATTGCGATTTTTACTTAAAGTCAGGGAAAAGTCAGGGAATTTTGTTTAAAGTTAACCATGAGTATCCGTGTGATACTCATACTGTTTGCAATTTTCGGATAGACTGATAAATCTTTTCAAATAATGAAAAAAATATTGAATAATTTAGTATCATTTACTACTCTTCCCAGTAGACCGAGGTAGTTGTGATTTTTTAATCGCCTTCGTAGTGTCTGTTATGTTATCCGCAAGTACATTTCAAATCGACCACGTCAAAACATGCCCATGTGATACAACATTGGCATCACGTGGTCGATTTGATTCGATTTTAGTCAGGGAAAAGTCAGGGAATTTCTATTTTCAAAATTGCTGGGAACCCTGGATTTGCTCATCTTACTGTTGTAAATGAAACTTCAGATTTAGCAACTTCTTTAGCCAAACTAAGTGAAATGGAACTCAATCTAATGGATATATATGTGTCAAACTTTTTTATCCAAAGTGGTTTTCATTGTACATTTAGGAGCTCTATAACTTTATTTAGAGACATTTATTTTCACTCTGCATTAGATTCTTAGAGACTCTGATATGTAATTGCCTGGTACAGTATCCCTGTCTACCCTGTTCCAGGGTCTTGTTGTGATTTGAATGTTTGTCTTGCAGAGGCTTGATGAAGAGGATCGACCAACTGGCTGTGTACTGTGTCCCAAGAGAATTGACATTGATATTGATTATAAGGTGAACATAAGCAGAGCCCCAAACTTAAAGTGCAAATGAACTCTCCCAAATAGTTGAATGGAAAAATATTTCTTGATTTGAGTGATGCGTTTCTAAGTTATGAAGGTTTATACTTCAAATATGCTAATGAGTGTGACGTCTATTAAGGCTTAATTTAATATACAAAATTGAACT